GTCCCCAGGTGTCCCCAGGTGTCCCCAGGTGTCCCAGGTGTCCCCAGGTCTCACCAGGTATCTCTCCGAGGACACGCTGACCAGGATCAGGTCAGGGCGTGTTCCGTCCCCCCATGTCCCCATGTCCCCCCAGTGTCCCCATGTCCCCCCCGTGTCCCCACCTCCACGTTGCTCCAGCGCAGCGCTCGGTTGAAATCCTCCACGGTGAGGCGCCGGCGCCGCGTGTGCTTGAGGAACTGGGAGCTGTTCTGGGGACAGGGGGGGACAGCGGGGACAGGGGGGACAGTGGGAATGGGAATGGGGAAATGGAAATGGGAATGGGAATGGGGACAATGGGAATGGGGACAGCCGGGGCAATGGGGACAACAGGAATGGGAAAATGGAAACGGGGAAATGGGAATGGGAATGGGAATGGGGACAGCCGGGGCAACAGGGACAAGGGGGACAATGGGGACAACGGGAATGGGAATGGGGACAACGGGGACAACGGGAATGGCAATGGGGAAATGGAAACGGGAATGGGGACATTGGGAATGGGGACAATGGGGACAACCAGGACAACGGGGACAACAGGGACAATGAGAATGGGAACGGGGACAACGGGGACAGGAATGGGAAGGGGGAAATGGAAACGGAAATGGGAATGGGGACAACCGGGACAAGAATGGGAAGGGGAAAGGGGAAACGGGGAAACGGGAACGGAAACGGGGGAACGGTGACGGGAGTGGGAACGGGAATGGGAAAAATGGGAACAGGATGAGGATCAGCACCGGGACCAGGAACGGCGATGGAGCCGGGAACAGAACCGGGAACGGGAATGAGAAAAACACAACGGGAACGGGAGCGTCACCCAGAGCGACACCGGGAGCGCTGCTGGCTCCAGCGCCCGGGACACGCTCCCGGGACGGCACCGGAACCGCTGGGCGGGAGCGGGGCCGGGACTGCCCGCGGGTCTCGCCGGTAACCTCGGTAACCCCGGTAGCCCCCGTAAGCCCGGTAACCCCCGTAGCCCCGGTAGCGCCGGTGCCCCCGGTACCTGCGTGGCCTCCCGCAGCCGGTAGTCCCGGTAACCCCGGTAAGCCCGGTAGCCCCGGTCCCCTCGGTAACCCCGGTAGCCCCGGTCCCCTCGGTAGCCCCGGTAACCCCCGGTGCCCCCGGTACCTGCGTGGCCTCCCGCAGCCGGTAGCACACGTCCTCGGCCAGCAGCGCCGCCACCTCGTCGCTGAGCTCGACGCCGGCGCTCTCGGCCATGAGCCGCACCGAGTCCCGGGGCAGCTCCACGAAGCGCCGCTCCTCCCGCTCCGCCATGGCGGGGCCGGCCACGCCCACGAGGGGGCGGGGCATGCAAATGAGCGCGCCGTGAAGAGTGCCGGGAGCCGGCGAGTGGGAGGCGGGGTTATGCAAATGAGCTGCCCGGAACTTTTCTACCCGGAACGTTCGCGCCGCGCTCGCGGTTCCCGCGCCGGAAGGGCCGGGAGCGCTCCCAAGATGGCGGCGCCCACGCGGTTGTGTCACGTTTGGGTGGGGGCCGAGACCGGAGTTCTCAAAGGTGAGGGGGGGTCCCGAAGGGTCTGGGGGGGCTCGGGGGGGCCCTCAGGG